TGTAGCAGGTAGAGGGCTGAGACAATCCATTTAACACTGACAGAGCTGTTTACAATGATCATCTGATAATGTTTTGCAAAAACTTTACCCCGAAATGAAAAAAAAAAATGGTTGAGGGTAAAAATGCCTAAAAAAAGAAAACGAATGCATCCACCACATCTAAAGATTGATAAGCTGTAATATATTACATTTTTGGTGTGAGGTTTAATATCGCTTTAAAATGCACCTCTGCCAGACTGTAGACATTAACTCTGCTTCAGCGATGCAACATTCACGAGCTCCCTTGCCAGCATCTTTTCCAGTGGGTTAGCACTGGGTTCTGATTCTCAATAGCAGATGGTGGTTTCAATGCTACTGCTGGCAGGGGCTCACTGGAAAAGCTGAGTCCACCTGCCATTTTGGGACAAAAAGCTGCTGTCCCTGTGTAGTTTTAAAATGGCACCCAGGGCTCAAGCGATTAAAGTATTTACATATTTTTAACATGCAATAAAATTCCTTTGAACAACCCCTCACTGACCTCTGTAGCTACAGCTACTGTAGAGAAGTTCATCTTCAAAGTTCAAAACAGATGAACTGAAATCAAAGATCTTCTTCCCTTATTTCCTCTGGCAGCTGTGACTTGGCAGCCTTCTAATGTGTACACACAGAGGGGCCTTTAAGCTGTTTTGAAATTATGTCAAACCCCACTTCAGAGTCTCTTTTGTGATTCTGAGAATGAATTGCTGCTCCACAGTCCTGCAGCTATAGAGATCAGCGAGGGTTTGTTTTAAGAATATATATTTTACCCCCTCGGTCTCCGCCGGAATCACACACCTACTGAGCGACATATCAGACTGGATGTCGCTCCACTTCCTTAAACTGAACCTCTCCAAAACCGAGTTTCTTGTCTTCCCCCCAGCCCGGACACCACCCCCCATTGACTTCTCCGTCACATCCAACAACGCCACCATCAAACCCGCCCCGCAGGCCAGAGTACTTGGTGTCATTCTGGACTCCAACCTATCCTTCCAGCCCCAAGTCCAATCATTACCAAACTTATGTAGACTCCACCTCCGCAACATCGCCAAAATCCGCACGTTCCTAACCCAGAAACCACTAAACAGCTCATCCACTCCCTCATCATATCACGACTCAACTACTGCAACTCCCTCCTCACTGGCCTGCCTCGCCGCTGGCTATCCCCGCTTCAGTCCATCCTGAATACGGCTGCCAGACTCATTCACCTTTCCAACCGCTCCATCTCCGCCACCCCCCCCTCAGCCAATCCCTCCACTGGCTTCCGATTGCGCAACGGATCAAATTCAAAATCCTAACACTGACGTACAAAGCCGTCCACCATACTGCCCCGAACTACATCACTGACCTAATATCCAAGTACCACCCAGCACATACACTCCGCTCCTCACAAGACCTCCTTCTCTCTAGTTCCCTGGTCTCCTCTTCCCATGCCCGCCTCCAGGACTTCTCCAGGGTGTCACCCATCCTCTGGAACTCCCTGCCCCAACCCATCAGATTATCACCTACTCTCCTCACCTTTAGGCGCACCCTGAAAACCCACCTCTTCAGGGAAGCCTACCCCACCCCCTGCTAACCTGCCGACCTCCTCCACTCTTCCTACCACTCCATCCCCCACAGCTATCTCCTCCTGTGCCACCATCCCCTCCTAGATTGTAAGCTCCAAAGAGCAGGGCCCTCGATCCCCTCATGTTTTGCATTGTATTGGTATTGTTCTGTCACATGTTCTGTCCCCCTTTGTAATGTACAGCGCTGAGCGAACTATTGGCGCTTTATAAATACTGTATAATAATATATATATATATATATATATATATATATATATACACACATACATATATATATATTTTAATGTCCATAGTTTGGACGCAGGTGCACTTCTGCTGCTGAAAGTGTGTAATATTAGCTTCTTACATTACCAAAATGTGCCACGCTCTACTTTTTCCAATATGCTATAAAAATCATAAATATGTGTAATTTCACTCAAAATAAAAATATAAGCGCAATATATGAATAAATCCACCATATAAATTACAGAAAATTGTCCATATATGATTCCTCAAATTCTTGTATTAATTTTAATATATATTCAGTGCTTCTTAATCCACCTTCAGTGTCTAAATTCACTTAAAAACATGTGCACCCCCACCGGTTGTGCTCTCACCTCAAATATATGACCAAACTGTTAAGCGAGGTCATATAAAGCCTTTGTCCCTTTAATTGGGCCAAGTGTGGATGGGATGGTATCCAGCTGAATAAGATCCCCTTCACTCATCTAGTGACTCTACTCCATCTGTGGGTATGTTAAGAGAATAACCAGATCATAGTGCTTTATCCTTGTACACTCATTTATTGGTATAAAGCAGGCATGTCCAAAGTCCGGCCCGTGGGCCATTTACGGCCCGGGGGTCGGTTTAATACGGCCCTTCAACAGCCCTCCCTGCTCTGTGTAATGTGGCCCTCCCACGGCCCTCCCTTCTATGGCAGACAGTCTTCTGCTTGAGAGCAGAGGGCAGTGCGCATGCCTGACTGCGGCGCGTTCTCCCTGGTCTGTGTAAATGCGGCTGTTGCACGGCCCTCCCTTCTGTGGCACAGTCTTCTGCTTGAGAGCAGTGAGCATGCGTGACTGCGCCGCGCTGGGAGCGACAGAGGGCGGTGACGTCAGGGCCGGGTTTCCAGCGTGAAGTGTGTTTCTCTTCCCCTCCCAGCTGCCGAGCAGAGACTTCAGCTCCAGCTACCTTTTTCACCCTTCACATTAGTGCAGGTAAGTTTTTTTTTTAATTTATTTTCAATACATTGTGAAAACTCAGCTGTCAGTTGATCTTAATGTTATGAAATGAAAAGTATGTCGTTTGCAATTAACTTGGCATAAAATAATTTATTTGCATTTAGTTGTAATGGTTCAAGAATGTTTGGAAAAATGTTCGGCCCTCCACCATGTTCACTTCATCCAATCTGGCCCTCTTTGAAAAAAGTTTGGACACCCCTGGTATAAAGTATTACACTCACAAGATCAATACACAGAAGCGCTTTGTGCAATAGATTGCCTCCTGAATTATTAGCAGTGGTGATATCCTGTGTGCAGCCAGCTGGTGTCACTATGGAACCATCGAGTGTCGTGACGTCAAAGCCCCTTCCTTACGCGTTACGCCACCAGGTCACGTGGCTTCATCAGGAGGAATGATTGGACGACACGCCGCTCATTCATCCTTATATAGAGGACGCCTCAGCGCCACCTGGCTGCACTTCTATTTTTATTTTCAGTGAAATTACACATATTTATGGTTTTTATAGCATATTGGAAAAAGTAGAGCGTGGCACATTTTGGTAATATATGTAATAGGCACACTTGTATGAGTATGTGTAAGGTGCAGGCGATCTGCTAATTTGTAATGTGGTTTGGCACAGAGAATTTGACATAGCAGCTCACAAGTTTTGATTATAATAAAATTAGCTTCTGATATGCTTGTAAACACCAGTACTGATGGGTGGGAGCATCCCACATGTAAAGCAGATATCAAAACCATTTAAACCACTAATGGCTAAAAATAATAAATTGATGTACACCTAAAGCCAAAACTTTGTTTAGTTTTGGATAGGGTAGGTAAGGTTTAGAATCTTTGTATGTATGGTCTCTAACAAATCCAACTGTTGAAGAAAATATCTGGAAGAAAAGAGCAAAGCAGTTGTTTCCTGATTAAGAAGTGGTGGCTTCCTAATAGGAGAAAGAAATGATCAACTAGGTACTTATTTATTTATTACAGGTACTTATATAGCGCCATCAATTTACGCAGCGATTTACATATATATTATACACTCACATCAGTCCCTAACACTCAAGAGGTGTACAATCTAAGGTCCCTAACTTACATTCATACATACACATACTAGGGTCAATTTAGACAGGAGCCAATTCACCTAGCAGCATGTCTTTGGAGCGTGAGAGGAAACCAGAGAACCCGGAGGAAACCCACGCAGGCACAGGGAGAACATGCAAACTCCAGGCAGGTGGTGCCGTGGTTGGAATTCGAACCAACAACCCGAGTGCTGCCAGGTGGAAGTGCTAAGTACTTCTGCCACTTCATTGTCCAGAGACCAGGCTAATTCTACAGTGATCTACAGGAAAGTCCACAACTGGCTGAAAGATATCTATAGCAGATCAAAGATTGAAGCACCAAACCATAGATTCATATTTCAGATACAGTTTTTTTCCAGTACAGTATGAGATAGAAGCTCAAACTGGTTTGGCTGCCAAAACCAGCTGATAACGAGACTTATGCTTGTTATCACACCGGTAAAAATACCATTTTACAGTTCAGTCTGTTTCTGTCCATATACACAATTTCCCACTTCAAACCCTGATGAATAGGGATATTTGTCGGCCGAAACGCGTCGGATTCCACTCAATCTTCTATCTGAACAGATCTGCTGTTTTGCAATACAAACCAAGGAAATCCTTTGAGGAGTAGAAGCTGCTTGCCCAGTAACCAGACAACTTGTACCAATACCATCCTACCATTCAATGGCATCAATAACAATGGCAGAACCCTTGTGTTCAGCACCACCTATCCAATTTCCCAAGCCTTACAATCAACACATCTAAGAGAGGCAATCTTTGATAAGGCTCAGCCCTCAGATATGCAGTATAAGTTAATGGAGCTGAGGCAGCTACCAAAGTCCCCCATCCGCCCCACACCTCCACCCCGGGAAAGCCTCATATTGTACTTTGTCCATTAATTTCTGCAGTAAACTGATTTTTATTTTACCATCTATTTTCTCGCATGCCTTTCTGGAACACTCATCCCTTTTTTCTACAATATTATTATTTGACAGATCTCCCCAACATTCTCCCCTCCGAGATGGCCATATTAAGCTCAATCATCCATTGTAGGTACATTATAACGCCAGATTGGGAAGCACTATTCAAGTCTCTGATTTATTTCCCACATTTTAGTGGACAGTTGTTTTATTTTTCAATATCTTACCTTGAACTGCTGCTTTCTGATGCGAGTCAGATTCATTAGCATGACCCCTGAGTTGACCCCAGTTGTACCATAGAAAGGGTGACGAGCAAAGCGACTGTACCAGCCAATCTTAGGGACTTCGTGCTCGGGGGCCATCGCGGCCAACTGTGTTTCGTTGAATTTTTTCAGGAAGGCCCAGATGTCATCCAGAGGCCTCAAAAACAGAACATCTGTGTCTACGTATAGTAAGGAGTCCACATCTTGTAAGATCATCTGCACATTAAATATTACTGTATTAGTCGATAGGGTTCGTGTTCACTGCAGTAATATATAGCACTATGGCTATGTAATAGACTAAAAACCTATAAATATAACATTTTAAACTGTATTTCTATAACCTTCATAGGAGACAGTGATTGCCAGATAATCAAATAGGCACAATGAACTCTCAGACTGGTAAGTGACAGCATCTTCATGATCTCAGTTGATGTTCACAACTCCCAATCTCTTGTTAAGCCCCGTAGAGATTGGTGGCCTTAACCTCCTCGGAGGTATGATTATTTCTGATTTTTTTTTGTGCTGAAAGCGGTACCATTTTTTTGCATGGAAATATGTCGTTTTTTATTGTAGGCTGTAATTTTTAGGAATCACTCACTGAAATCTGTCCGAACAAGAGTCTAGTAAGCATCCGGGAAGGATAAAATTTGAAACACGAAATAATAAATTATAATTTAATAAATAATCATAAAAAATAATAATCTAATAATAATAAATTTAATTCAATAATATAATCAAACCAAAAACACTGACATTTGAAATACAGAGGCAAATTCACACATCGCTGAGCAAAGTCGCAAAATCGCTTTCAGTGTCTGATGACGAATTTCCCCACGAATCATTATCACTCAATTCTGCAAGTGGTTCTGATTTACTATCGCTGTTCTCTAGCCGGTCTAAAACCGCTTTTGACGTAAAGGGACGCTTTTTGGAGGCCATGGACTTTTCTAAGTTTCCAGACAGAAAGAACAGTAAAAATGCAGGCAGGGCACAGGACAAAGCAGTAGGGACAAAATGTATGTGAAATGCATTGAAACAGCAATGTTTTACTATGTAATAATCATTTTTAAAAAAAATGATATTTTTAAAAAATTTCATATTTGCCGCCGACGTCCCGACGTCACAGGGACCGGAACACGGAAGCCGGATGCCGGCATCGGCCGGAGGAGATGGCCGGGGACGCTGCAGGGGACACATCGTGGGAGCGAAGGACAAGGTAAGTGCTGCAGGGATTCCCTGAGCAATGCCGCATTGTAAGCCCGAGTGTAGCTCTTGGTACTCAAATTTTACCCTGAGCTACACTCGGGAATACCGCTAAGGAGGTTAAATTTCATGTTTGATTTCCAAAAGCAATTAAGGTGATTGTAGCCGTATTAGTGCACTGGCGACAGAAACAATTGAGTACTGACGTGAACCATGGAGGTTTCCTGTAAACCTCCCAGGGGATAGCAGGACAAGGAAAAAGCTAAAAAAATTACAAACTTGCTTGATTTACCAGGATACAGGTAATTAGCTATTGTGCATTAAAAGTACACATGGGGGAGATTAACTAAAACTAGAGCACCCAGAATCCGGTGCAGCTGTACATGGTAGCCAATCAACTTCTAACTTCAGCTTGTTCAATTGAGCTTTGACAATAAAACCTGAAAGCTCATTGGTTTCTATGGAGAGATGCACCTGATTTTGCACTCCCCAGTTTTAGTGAATCAACAACAACCCCCCCCCACACACACACACACACCTTAGGCTCATTCCACTTTTGGGGATGTAAGAAATATAGCTTCTGCTTTATCCTAAAGAGTGTGACACCATTGCTGGAACAGTTTTCTTTCAAGTACATCTGCTGGCAAAATGTGTATTAACTCTACCTGAAGTCTTGTTTGCCTGGCAAGAAACCTCCTGGCTAGCTATGGGCATTAGCAGGTGGTCAATCCAATCCAACCACCCAGACAATCCAAAAGGTCTTCCTTCAAAGGATTGTAACAGTAATGCACAAACTGAGATCTTTTGAACATGCATGGTAATGTCTACATGGTCTATGAGGAAAAATAAGTGGCATTGTCCTCATCTTTGGAGGAAAAAAATATTAATTGTCTAGAACAGTGGCCCCCAAACTGTGGCCCTTTGCTTGCCTTTATCTGGCCCTTGAGGCATTATTCTGGCCACTGTCACTAACCATGGGATACTATTCCATCCACTAACACCAACAATGGAGTACTATTCCTGCCACTGACACCAACTATTTCTCTCCCTAATACCAAAGATGGGGCATTGTTTACTCCAACTGGGCACATCCCCCCCAAAGTCTGAAGAACAGTAAACTGGACGTTTGTTTAGAAAGTTTGGGAGACCCCTGATCTAGAAAATCTATCATCAACTACCTTTTACCCAACAAACACAGAAAGTGCAGAATATTCTGTGCGAAACAGTGCAAATCAGTGACAATTGTCTCATGTGTCGAGAAGAGACTGCCAATGGCAAACTGGTGTAGTTTTTGGTTACTCTTTGTATATAAACTGATATTTTATTGCTAATATTATTATTTATTACAAGTACTTCCGTATTTCAAGTTATGAAGGGCCATCTTGTGTACTATGCTTTAGGGTCACTCATAGGCTGTGATGCTGAAATGTCGGTGCAATAAAGCTATCATATTGTCTTCTTTGTTACAACGTGGAAGCCCCCTATACCTATCACTATATTATTTGTTTTATGTGGGGCACTAAGGCACTTATATTGGATGGAGTGTTCATACCATATATATCTATTCATTACATACAGTCTATTAAAAGGCCCCGACCCAAAGAAATTACAGGGTCTTACAGTTTTGTAGGCACTCTCATTATTGACCTGACTTGAAATTTCAACAGGTGTGCAGGAGATAATTATTATTATTATGCAGAATTTATATAGCGCCAACAGTTTGCGCAGTGCTTTACAAAATGAAGGTAGACTGTTACAATACAATTTGGTACAAGAGGAAACAGAGGGCCCTGTTAGAGCTTACAATCTAGGAGGAAGGGTTGAGTGATACAAAAGGTAATAGCTGTGGGGGGATGAGCTGTTGGAGGAAATAAAAGGCAGTTTACTAGTTAGAAGCAGGATAGGCTTCTGTAAAGAGAAGGGTTTTCAGGGATCGTCTAAAGGTGAATAGATTAGGTGATAGTCTGAAAGATTAAGGTAAGGAGTTCCATAGGATGGGAGAAACTCGGGAGAAGTCCTGGAGGCGAGCATGGGAGGATGTTACACAAGAATTAGAGAGCAGAAGGTCTTGGGAGGATCGAAGAAAGCGGTTTGGTTGATATTTTGAGACCATGTTGGGGATGTAGTTGTGGGCAGAGTTGTGGATGGCTTTGGAAGTTGCTAGTATTGTGAATTTTTTTTTCGTTGGGCGAGTGGAAGCCAGTGGAGGGATTAGCAGAAAGGGGTAGCAGAAGCTGAACGGTTGGTAAGGAGGATGAGCCTGGCAGCAGTATTCATGATGGACTGGAGGGGGGATAGCCTATGTAAAGGTAAACCAATGAGGAGGGTGTTGCAGTATTCGAGGTGAGAGATAACCAGGGAGTGAATTAGGAGATTTTTGGTATCATTGGTTAAAAAGGGGCGTATTCTGGAGATGTTGCGGAGTTTGAGGTGGCATGATTTGGACAGGGATTGGATGAGAGCCTAAGGGAGGAAATATTATGAGCTCAGTTTTAGATAGATTGAGTTTTAGGAAGTGATGTGACATCCAGTCTGATACGTCTGTTAGTAAATTGCTGATATATGAGGAAACGGATGGGGTGAGCTGAGGAGTACAGAGATAGATTTGTGTGTCATCAGCATAGAAATGGTATTGGAAACCATGGGAAGCTATCAGCTGACCCAAGGAAGAAGTGTATATCAAGAATAAGAGAGGCCTAAGGACAGAACCTTGGGGGACCCCAACAGTAAGAGGAGTAGGAGAGGAGGAGGTAGAGTTGTAAGTGACACTGAAGGTGCGGTGAGATAGGTAAGATTCAAACCAACGGAGCATACAGTCATGGAGGTCAAGTAAATAGAGTTTTTTTAAGGAGGAGGGGTGGTCAACTGTATCAAATGCAGCAGAGAGGTCCAAGAGTAAGAGTACGGAATAGTGACTGTTGGATTTAGCTGTTACTCATTTGTGAGTTTTAGAGAGAGGTTTTTGTGGAGTGTTGTGGGCAAAATCCAGACTGAAGGGGATCGAGAAGGTTATTCTCAATGGGGTGGCAGCTCACCAGGTTGTAGACTAGACGTTCAAGGAGTTTGGAGGAATAAAGGGAGTAAGGAGATGGGTCTTAAGTTGCTAAGATTGGTGGAGTCCAGTGAGGCCTTTAAGTGTGGGGGTGACTAGCACATGTTTTAGAGAGTTGGGGAAGATGCCCATAATATATAAATATTTTTAAATATATAATATATATATAAATTCTTGTAAATAAGCAGCCACTATAACTGATACCAGTTAGACAAAACTTTCAAAGTGAAAAAAGCAGCGTGATACAGCCAAATGACAAATACTGAAAATAGTTAAGTGCCACAAAAAGTGTCCATAGAAAGACGTGATACAATTAAATAATAGATTGCCACAAAAAGTGTCCATAGAAAGACGTGTTGCAATACGTGATGCAATTAAATAATGAAGCAGACAATATTATATATATTGGTCCAGCGCTACCTTGGATCTACCTAAATAATATCTAAACACAATCATAGTAATAACGGACAACTTATGAGTGACAAATCATATTTGATAATATATACAGTGAATAAATGATCATAAAGTGAATTGATCCACAAAAGGATCTTAAAGTGAAATAAAGAAGTGCGTAAACCTAATAATGAAAAACAGTGAAAAACAAAAAGTCCAAATGGGACTTACGATGATTGAAGAAAAAAAAGTGAATCCCTATGAATGGGATCAAATGTTCTCGCAAAAAATAGTGACCAAAAAGGCTATAATTAAGCCAAAATAAAGTGAAGAAATAGTGACATATGTGAATCCCAGAATGCGGGATTACATTTCACAATAGTGACAAGTGCTGTGATAAACCAACACAAAATATTTATAAACAAAATGACATAAACATAATTGATGTGATATTAAAAAAATTATTAATTTATAAATAATCATAAGCAATAAGTCCAGGGTGGATAAAAATCAATGATTTTTTTAAAAAAAAATAAAAAAATTGGATTTTTTTTATTTAAATCGGATT